TAAGCAAAACAAAAGCAGGAAAGGTGCAGTCTAGAGAGGCAAAAATCAGCAGCTCTTTAGGACCCCAGGGGCACCTACTGCCTGATGTCCAAACAATCACAGCTTTGACTTCACTCATTGACTAGAAACAGTGATAGGTGGGAGCAGCCAGGCTGGTTCTCCATAACTTTTTTTTCCCGCCTAGGAGGGCTAGATAAGTAGAAGAAAAATTCCTGAAAACAAGTTACAGGGATCAATCAGAGCTGCACAAAAAAAGTATGAGGAAAACTCAGTACATAGAAACCTAACCCATTGTAAAATTATTACCAAGCGGCAAAAAATGAATGAAATTCCCGGTGAAGAAGAGCATCTGTATTGCATATTCTTTTAGTTGCATAAAATTTGATACAAGACATGGAAATAGCACAGACACTGCCTAGATGCAATGAGCTGGAGGATCTGTGGCAGGAGAAATGTTTTTACCAGTTTCACGTCCTCTAGGCAAATATGCCATGTTGCATTGCTCTTATATCTGATGCAATGCAACATAAAATAATACAATAAAAACAAAGCAGTGGTTTATTCCACTGCTATTCAACAATATATATTTATAATTGCAGTTAATGCACAGTTATCCTGTGTATTAAATACCCTGAATGAAGTATCACAGAAATTAGAACTGCAAGGACTGTGTGACAAATTCACCCATTTTTGAAAAAGGTAATCGCTCCCTCTTTCCAGTGCATTCCATGATGACCTTTTCAAGAAGTAGTTATGAGCATCACTTTATATGCCTACTGATAAGATAATAATTGATAGCTAGCATTAGGCTTTAGGGGCTCCAATCTTGGAGGTGTGACCCAGCATTAAAGCCTGTAAACCTGGATCAGTTCATAAATGACAATGAAAAGACAAGACATACTACAAGGAAACAAACACCTTTGGGACAAAGGCATTTGGGTAGCCATTTATACTAGCTCAAGGTTATCAGGGGAAACAGTGTCTCTCTGGTTGTCTTCTATGCAGCCATAATTCAAAGATACGATATAATAACAATGTACTCCTTTCTTTTGTTTTAGCAGATGCAGGCTTATTCCTCAATGCAAGGTTTCTCAAAGTGGTTGATATTGAGGCCCTGGAGTTTATGGGATTTTGCAGTGGGTGAATAAAACTGTCGGGGTGGGATCAAAAAGGACCAGTGGAGGAAAAGAAGTTTACAAATTATAGTGTGCAAAAAGTAATTAGGAACTATGAGCCTCAGAAATAAGATAGATACCACAATACAACAGACCATGGTGCTTTATTGCTAAATATAGGTGAAGATTTTCACCTGTTAAACGTTAAATACATAGTGAAATTGGTTCAATTTACATTCCTTAGAACTTGGGTTGAGGTCAGTGTCAACTTTAGAAACTCATTAAGGGGTCAATAAACTCAAAGGTTTGGGAAACCCTGGCTTAGTGTGACACCTAACTACCAATTCTAGTTCCCTTTCAAATTAGGAGTGGGCTTCCACTGCTCTTAAATGGGAGCTAGATGGTTACTGAGCTAGATATGCTGCAATGGCAATAGCTTTTCAGTATTCAGTAAATAAGTATAATTGACCCCTTTTGCTTGAAGTACTAGCAAGTGAAAGAGTGAAACACTGATTTCGGTGTGGCTATTACTACCATGCCAAGTTTAGTGTTCTTGCGTTCATTTACAGAGCCCTAAGCAACCTAGGTCCAGAGTACCTTAGGGATTGCCTTGACCCTTATATCCCAGCTCAGTCACTGAGACTCTCTGTAGGAGCGTCATTGGTGAGGCTCAGCCGACAACAAGAAATGAGCCTTTATTGTTATTCACTTACTATTGTGGAATACCCTGCCAACAGAGGTTCAACGGGTGCCTTATACATAAAATATATGTGCAGGTCGGTAGTGAGGTTAGGGCACCTCAGTGAGATTACCAGATTGACTCTTCCAGTGTGCCTGAACCACCACAAATTCACTTTTGCACAGCCCTGCATCACCCCTGGCACTGTTCTGGGATACAACTGGGGCCCGCTGCTGGGAAACCATGTTCACAGCAGTGCCACTCCTCGTTGGTTGCTCCTGCCAAATAGTACTTAAGGAATTTCAACCGTGCCAAACAGAGAACATGACATTCTTCTAGGGTGCTTCATGAAAGTCAGTCGTTGCTGCACAGATATGTCACTTGAAGGCCTGTGTGACATCTGTCTCATGGGGACCTCCACTAGACTCCATGGTTTCCTTTCATCTCTCCTTGTCCCTGGTGCTAGGAACGCCACTGTTAAAAGAATCGCTTCTTTTCTTATAGGTTGCTGAATAATTAAATTCTTAATAATGCCACTTTAACCTTACAAGTAGGGCTTGCACTCTTGCTATTATAGATGTGAGCACAATGTAATCAACAGGAAGCATTTGCCCATGTTGTAGAAAAATTCTTATCCTGAGGGTTTTGCTTATGCTTCAAAATGACCCCTTTGGGCATTCGTCAAATACTCTTATCCTGCTGAAAATGTTCCTGGGAGATTTTCTGAAAACCAAACCAAAGTTGAACCCTTTCTTCCCACTGATTATCAAGGGGATATTTAACTGTGACTTGCGCCAAGGAAACCACAAAATTTTCACAATGCCTGTGAAAGCTTTCTTTTTTGTGATGCGAAGACAGTCAATAAAAAAATAGAAAAGGGAGTGGGTAGATGGATGCAGATCAAAATGGTTTGGTTTGGTTTGGTTTTGGAGGGGGAAGCCTTTAGTGTGATGGAGGCTCTACTAAATCAGATTTAAATGTCTATGTCATTTGGAATATAGGGAATAGTGTTCTGTAATTCCAAAAAGTCATTGTGAAATTCTTCCATGGTTAAATGTCTGTTTCTGTCTAGTAGGAATTGCTACCCCATTAAAGATCGCTCCAGCTGTTGCAAAGGACAAGTCACACCTCCCTGGAATGGGGGGATGATTGGGGAAGGCTGATCTTTGCAAATTCATTGGTAGCCACTACACCCTCCCCTGGATTCTGAACAGGCAACTTGAAATCACCAAAGGCTCATTGCACCAAAATGCAAAAGAAATTTCAGTACTGCCCTTTGATCTTTCTCTGTCCTTCACAAGAATTTAGATTCTCAAAAGAAAAAGTTTATGCTACAGAAAACTCTGAGCATCTGCAGAATGCATTTCCCTCTCTGCTCTGTAAATACAACCACCTCTAATACATTAAGAATCTGGACCACTGACTTTCTTTAGGGATGCAGCCAAGTAGTTGTGGCCACAGTGAACTGCTTTCTACAGACTTCCAGGCATAGGGGACTTCTGCATTCCCCAGTTTAGAGTTTCTTGAATGTCTACTGCAAAGTAATTCTTGCTAGTTCAGTAGGAGCTGCTCCTAGGGAAGTGTGCATAGGATTGCAACCTTAATCAGGGAAGAAGGCACAAAAAATCATTTTGATGAATCTCCCCAGTCTTTCTGGAACCTGCAACATACAAGCTCGCCTCTCTTAATGAAAGGCATTCCTCTAGCATGTTCTTAATTTGTGTATCAAGAGTTCTTGCTTCAGCTGACTGTTTTAACTTACCACGTTAGCAAATGTGATAACAGCAGTTTGAGTACTGTCAGAGATAGTTAATAGAAAAATAAAATTGTCCCATTGCTAGAAAATAGCCAACTTTATTATGATGCTAATTACTAGTTTTTGATGTCATTTGTATTGCACAAGCATTAAGCAGTTACTGGGCTGGCTTTAAAAGAAAGGTAGCTAGCATTATTAAATTATGACATGTTGAGTTTAAAGGACACATGTCCACATATGGACACTTAAGGAACACAACAGAAATGGCTGCAGAGAAGTTCTTTCAACCAAGCTCATTGATAATTGGTGCTGATAGGCACCTCTAATAGCCTCCTCTGGCATACTGATCACAACGTTTCGCTTTCACTCTCAATCTTGTTATTTGTGTTACTTGTATTGTTTAAAAATAAAGCGAAGAACAGACATGACATTCAAGAGCAAGTATAAAAATCAGTGTTTTTGCTTGTGCTTACAGAATTGTAATGGACACTTATTTTCAAAGCTTTCACATTCTTGTTCTGCTTACATCAACATTTCCTTCTTCAAACAGTAGCCCTGTAAATAAGATTCTTTACAGAAGTTGAAACGCTAATAAACTCCGCTGCTGACAGTGGTGACGGTGTCGAGATTTTCCGGAATTCAAGGAATTGCATGCCTTTTGGCATCTAATGTAAGAGTTCTTAACCCCACTCCTCCCTCAGAAAACTATTCTGATGTGCCAGAATTGCTCAATAAGTTGTCGGCACATTTGCTTTGAAAATAATTAAAGCAAAAAGTCAGTGCTATGTTCACTTACCTGTGAATAAGTACCATAAAACTTGGTAGGGCTTACTTCTGAGTAGACACATACAGAACTGCACTGTTGGAAGTGTACATTTCAGATCTTTTATAAGGCTGTGCTAACATGTCACATCGCTTCAGGATCTAGAGAAGGCACTGGTTCCCTCTCTGCAGTCCCTTGTTCTTCAAGGATTCTTGATTTAAATTGAGGAGCTTATTCTGTCCGTTTGAACAAGATACTTTTCTACCTAAATAAAACAATTGCTTTCTAGTAAATTAAAAAAAAAGTCATCAAGAACCATAATACATGTTTTTAGATCAAACAAAAAATGAAGATGTAAAGAATCCTTCTGCTGCCATCCCACTTACCTGGAAGTAACCCTCATTGAACTCAGTGGGGTTCGCTTCTAATTAGACATGTAGAAAATGGCAACGTTAGTCACTAATATTGGGAGGGGGCCATAAAAATAATGGGTATTACTTTGACATTTATTTTTCTTGAGTACCAACTTTGGAATGTTGTTAAAGCATTGCAACTAAAAACTTCGAGAAATTATGCTGATAGGTTTTTCTATTTACCTTGTGGAAAAGTTATATGTGTATATATATATATTTACAAGACTTTTCTGCAGTAATCTTTGCTTATTCACTTTATTTCTCTGTTCAACAGGTTTTACTGGCAAGCTGTGTGAAACAACTATTGGTGGCTGCTTGTCACGACCTTGTGGCGCTTTCAGTCTCTGTGAAGATGGAGTTGATGGTTATCATTGTTTCTGTGCACCTGGTTTTATAGGTAGGTTTGGATCTAAAGATACTTTACATTCATTAAGCAGACCCCTTCCCCCAAACTGCTGCATAGCAGCTACTATTTTGTCAGTTTGTTGTCTATCAGTCCTACATGGCTCACTTCATATGCCTGTGGTTCCTGCACGATCATTTATGGGAAGATGCGAGAATCTGCTGCTGGATTCCTAAACCAGCAAGGATTATGTTGAGGGTGCTAACTGCATAAACACATATGTAAGGTACCCCTGCCCGTACGGGCCAGTCTTGACAGACTCTAGGGTTGTGCGCCCATCTCACTTAAGAGGCCGGGGGCCAGCGCTGTCCGGAGACACTTCCGGGTCATGTGGCCAGCGTGACAAAGCTGCATCTGGCGAGCCAGCGCAGCACACGGAAACGCCGTTTACCTTCCCGCCAGTAAGCGGTCCCTATTTATCTACTTGCACCCGAGGGTGCTTTCGAACTGCTAGGTTGGCAGGCGCTGGGACCAAGCAATGGGAGCGCACCCCGCCGCGCGGATTCGAACCGCCGACCTTTTGATCGGCAAGCCCTAGGCGCTGAGGCTTTTTACCCACAGCGCCGCCCGCGTCCCAATTAAAGACATATGTAGTGGGGCTTAAATAAATATATAGTCACTACAATTTGTATGAGAAGGCCCTTTATGAAAGGGCCATAAGAATTTCACAAATAAAAATAGTGGCATCCCTTGGCTCATAGAGTTGGTTGGGTGGATTGTAAGTGTTGCTCAGTCCAGCAGCCTTTTGGGTGAGAACTTGCTCGGTGTCTGAATTAGATCCCTGTTACAGAGCTGGCATTTGTTCTCTAGTACCAAACCGCACATAGCACATCATGAGAGATTGGCTAAAATTATATGGAGAATTTTTAAATAACCCATGGGATCTTAATGTGAATTGTCTATTCATCTATGCACTGATTAAGAGGGTAGGTCGGAACATAGGAGGATAAGCTCAAACCAGCAGTTAATCAGGGCTTCGCTTGACCTGGATATTAGGAAGAGGAGACACAGCGATATCTGCAGCAGAATTCTCCTTGTCTCCATTCTCCATCACTCTGCCTTCAGGATTATCTTTCGCAATTCCCTTGTAACTGGAAATGCATAATACTCATTCCTTTCCCTGTGTCAGTTTGCTATCCTGTCAATCAGAAGTCAAGGAGGAGGACCACATGACCTAGTATCCCTGGCCACTGGAGTTTTCTTTTCACTGTCTACTTGTGCTTCAATATAATTGATTACTGCAAACTGTAAAGTGCTGCTCTGAAACCTAACATGCTTGCTGGATGTAGCTACTTGGAAATCAAAAATACTAGGGTGATTTTAACAGGACTCTGCATTTAGATAGTACACTGGTACCTCGGGTTAAGAACTTAATTTCTTCTGGAGGTCCATTCTTAACCTGAAACTGTTCTCAACCTGAGATACCACTTTAGCTAATGGGGCCTCCCGCTGCGACTGCACCTCCAATTTTTGTTCTCACCCTGAAGCAAAGTTCTTAACCCGAGGTACTATTTCTGGGGGTTAGCAGTGTCTGTAACCTGAAGTGTCTGTAACCCGAGGTACCACTGTAGTTCATGTTGGAAATTCAATATCAGAATTTTGGCAGAAAACCAATTATCCTGGCTTTTGTTAGATGTGGAATCATTGTTCACCACTTCCAAATGAAATCATAATGACACCAAAAAGTGTACATTTACAGTAGACAGCCAATGTGATTTTTTAATATATATTTGTAGATTTCTCTCTCTCTCTCTCTCTCTCTCTCTCTCACACACACACACACACACACACACACACACAATATTTATAGAATAGTCACACAGGTCAGTTGGTTAAGCATCTGTGTTGTAACCTTAGTTGATGGTTTTGTTTTGCTTTTTAAAGCATTATTTATGGTAGTCTCAGTAACTTGTATTATTCAACACCAGATTTTGATGTTGTAAATCATGCTTCTACAGAAAAAGTCATCCCTTGGGAGGAAAAGGGTTTATCGTGCTCTACTAAAATAAATACTTGCTGAAACTCTAACACAACTTACCTGGGAGTAAGCCCCTATTGAATTCAGTAGTACTTTATTCTAAGTAAATATATATTAATACATTTATTAAATTTGTATCCCACCCTTCATCCAGAGATCTCAGGGCAGTTTGCAGCATAAAAATACAATATAAAAACACAAAATACATAATAAAAATAAGAATAACCCTCCTTTCCAGACACATTTAAAAGGGTATCGGATGTTAATCAGGCACAGGCTGATTTTCTCTTGGGGCCTAAATGAATGAAGGCACCACCTGAACTTCCTAGGGGGGAAACACTGCAGAAAAGGGCCATACTCATGTTGCCACCCTCTGGACCACTCGTGGAGGGAGCACACAAAGGAGGGCTTAAGATGAATCTCAGGGTCTGGGTAGGTTCATATGGAGGGGTGAATCCTTGAGGTATTGCAGTCCTGAACTGTTATAGGATTTACTCCCGAGTAAGTACATATTGAATGACATTGTTAGTCTTAAGTCTAATTTGAAAGTTAAGCACATGCTTCATTCTCTCTCATTAAAATTAGGGTTTAAAATGCTTGACAATTGCTGAGCCATTCCCTTTGATTGCAGAGAAGTAAGCAGTCATGCCCACCATGATTACAACTCTTAGAGCTGACCTTAAATATACTTTCAGATTGCTAAGGGGTGATTGCTCCTTTTATCATTGACCAACATCTTTCTTTTAGAATATTAATTTCAATGGGAAAGCTTTTATATTTTCAAATTCTAGGTTCTAAAAGAATTTCATTCTAAATACCTCTAATGGGTCTGCATTTACCCATGAAAGAAACTGCTGAAAGCAAATGTTTTCTTGGCTCAATAAATCACTACGATCACCTCAAGAAACATACATCATTCCTCTGCTTTATTAAGGGGAACGTGAAAGGAAAAAAATTTGTGAAACAAAATAGACACAGTTAAGCTTCAGCACCACTCAGTCTAAACAGTATTATATCTGAATTATTTGTTTAACATATTTATATCTCACCTTTCTTCCATGTTGGGATTCTAGGCAGCTTACAACATTTAAAATTATAATTATATAATGCAGAGTAAAAAAGCAAACTAGTTAAAAACAGCAATTAAAATACTTCAGAACAGAATTAAAACTAGCAATCAAAACAGTAAGCACAATCTAGCCTTGTTCACTTTTGCAGCTTTGCTCTATGGACTTTATCCGATAGGTGTAAAGAACATTGCAAGTAAGCATGTGCATGAGCTCTGTGTGAGAGTGAAGTAAATGCTTAACTTTGGGTGGCTAAAGACTGGAACTTCAGCATAATGTTAGATTAAGTTGATCGACCGGGGACTTTGACATACTGTTGGATCATTGTGGCAAACACCCTTAGGGATGGCCAACTTCGTCAAAATTGCCCTCAGAGAACTGAATACCAAAAGGAGTTGGAAATTTATAGCAATTTGTATGGAAAATGTGAGCGTTCTGTCTTCATGAGATAATGTTGCCTGATGTTGGTTACCTTTACATTAGGGACGCGGGTGGCGCTGTGGGTAAAAGCCTCAGCGCCTAGGGCTTGCAGATCGAAAGGTCAGCGGTTCGAATCCCCGCGGCAGGGTGCGCTCCCGCTGCTTGGTCCCAGTGCCTGCCAACCTAGCAGTTTGAAAGCACGTCAAAGTGCAAGTAGATAAATAGGGACCGCTTACCAGCGGGAAGGTAAACTGCGTTCCGTGTGCTGCGCTGGCTCGCCAGATGCAGCTTTGTCACGCTGGCCACGTGACCCGGAAGTGTCTCCGGACAGCGCTGGCCCCCGGCCTCTTGAGTGAGATGGGCGCACAACCCTAGAGTCTGTCAAGACTGGCCTGTACGGGCAGGGGTACCTTTACCTTTACCTAGGATCCTCTACATGGAAATTAAGACCCATATACACTTATACGTTTGATTTTGTTGTTTCCATTTGCGCTGCTGTATGAAGAATTTCTCAAAAATGTCCTCTTCACTTATTTCAAGGGAATAACTGTGAGACAGAAATGGATGAGTGCCTAAGTGGCCCCTGCCTCAATGGTGCTACGTGTGTCGAACAGCTTAATGCCTTCAGCTGCCAGTGTTCTGATGGATTTCAAGGTAACCAGAAAATTATCAGCCTTTAAAATGCAGTGGATACAAATAATCATATCTAGGAGATTTATGCACATCCCAGTGCATGTTTAATTCAGAAGTAAATCCCTTTGCGTTTGCTCAAGTAAGTGGGAATAGGATTGCGTCATTAACTTCATCCAAAGCTAGAAATGTAGAATCATTTCATCTATCTCAAATCCTAAAAATAACTGTATTCACAAATCATAATATATTACTGTAAAAATTTACAATAGCGGCTCTTTCAGTTACCTGGTTACTTCAGTTGAGTGTTTTGGCTATCTCCTGCTGATAAATATGTGAAACAAATGCTAGCTTTATTTAAATATGGAAGGGTGTAGCTAGTGGGCATGATCCCAATGCTTGCCTCAGGCCATGAGATGTATGAGCACCTCTGTTGTCACCCGTTGTCCTGTCGTGAGCTTGAGAATGAAGGAGAAGATATAGCAAAGGAATCAACAAATGATACTAATTGAAGGAAGAAATGCTAGAGGTCCAGTGGAGGTGTCTATAGCACTGTCTCTTCTGCCTATACTGAATCAGTTTAGATTATGGCAGCCTGAGGATACGGAGAATCTGTTTGAAGAAGTGTGGTCACCCATCTGCCTCCTTGACCCTTGCCCATCCTGGCTTCTTAGAACTAGCCATTGGTGGGTTGACTGGTTGGGACGAAAGAGTGATTGATGCTTCATTGGAGAGGAAGGAGGTACCAGAGGTTGAGAAGTGTTGAGGTGTATATTTTTAGAACTGACCTGGTTCTCTCCTGGTTCAGTTTTTTTTAAAAAAATTGTTAATATTGCCTTGTATAATTTCAATACAATGCAATAATAATAATAATAGAGTTCTGTGTCCTAAAACGCACACCCAAAACAAGGCTGGGAGCTTTGGCCTGCCAGATGTTGCTGAACTACAGCACCTATCATCCCTGGTCATCAGCTGTGCTTGATGGGGCTGCTGGGAGTTGTAGTTCAGCAATATCGGGAGGGCAAAATATTCCCCATCCATGCCTCAGCATATAATACCACGAACTCTCTCAGGTTCTTAACTAGTATAATGTGTTTTTCATGTTTAAAATTTCTCCTTTTACTTTGGTGAGCATTCATTCACTAGCTTATCAAGAACAGAAGGAAGATTTCCCTTCATGTCACGGCAAATGCAGTCTATTATATTTGTGTCATTTCTTTTCTCTTCCCTTTATATTGATACAAATTGATAAGGAAATTGCCTGCCATGAGTCTTGAGAATCAATTCAGTGTCAGTGAAGACTTTGTTCTTTGTGTGCCTTCTTAGTAAACCAGTGAAATATCTCGAATAATGCTTTAGAGCGACAGGTTGAAAGTATAATAACGTTACTGACAGAAAGTTCTGAGGAGTAAGTGGCTTTCCATGGAAATGCAAAACAAAATCATAGTCATGATTAAACGTCTAGATGCTGCAAAATATTGTCTTCTTTCCTTCCACTACTTTATAGGCACACTTTGTGAAATCGACATAAATGAATGTCACTCAAACCCCTGTCTCCATAATGCAACTTGTACAGACCTTATTGGTGGATATGACTGTGTCTGCCTTTCCGGCTTCACAGGTGAGTGGCATCCATAATGGATCCTGTTTTCTATGGAAGAGTAGCCTTCAAGATATTCATGAAGACTAATTTGCTGCTGCTTCCTTCTTGTTTCTCTTTATCTTCCCCAACTTGCATTCATTTGCATTCCAGACGAACTGGATTGCCAGCCACATCTGTGAACTTTTCCAAAATAAAATGAGCAGGGCCATGCCTAGAATGGACCGTGACTACTTCTATGCAAAGGGATGATAAATATGTGCTTGATAATTGTTGCCAGAGAGCACTAATCTGTCTCCTTTCTGTATGTTTGTTCATGAGCACCTTGGCTCAAAAGGCTTCATTTTGACTGGAAAGGAAGGCTGGAAAGTTCTAGATAGCTAGGATAAAATCCACTTGAAGTTTCCCATAGAAGCTGTCTATTTAAAAAGACAAAGAAGTCTCTTCAGCCTCCATACGCTGCTGTGGGGCCTCCTGAGATAATTAACGCTCTGGATCCTGATAGAATCAAAGGAATACCATAGCACTCTATGAGCATGTTTATGTTGTTTATTAGAATAATATTAAATGATTTAATAAATGAATGGAGGGGGCCAAGGGGCCAAGGCAGCCTGCTCCATCCCCCAAGTGATTCCAAAAGAAGATTCTTGCTATCATGGGTTCATCCTGCATCCAACTAAGTTTTAAGCCAAGTGTACCCATGAAAATTAATGGACCTAAATTTGCCATGTTTATGGCAAACCCATGGGCCTACTCTGAATAAGACTAACATTGGACCCAACCCTTAGTCCGGAATGCTGGCTTCAAAAACTGAAACAGTCACACCATGTTAGCTCTGTGGCCTGCAGCCATCTCGCTCCTTATCTCCCCTTCTTCCATTTTATGGGACAGTTAGCCATCAAAATGCTATTTGTCATACTTTCTTAATTTAATAATAATAATCTTTTTATGAAAACCTCTCATCTTCATCTCTATTGCTCCCTGAGTACCTTACAAGGGCACTTTGCAACCTAGACTGAAATGAAACATAGTTTTGCATGCTGTGCTCTTTGGTTTTTTTTCCACAAGCATACATGGTTTGGGCCAGGCATAGGCAAACTCAGCCCTCCAGATGTTTGGCCTACAACTCCCATGATCCCTAGATAGCAGGACCAGTGGTCAGGGATGATGGGAATTGTAGTCTCAAAACATCTGGAGGGCCGAGTTTGCCTATGCCAGACAGTAGTTTGTTCTCTGGCAGAATAGAGCCAGGGTTCACTATAAGAAGCAGCTTCACTACACATTTGAGCTAAATCTTCCCCCTTCACAAGTCAAATGTGTTGCAGAAGGGCTTATTCCCAGAATACTGAGAAGTAATTTGCAGAGCTGTATAGAGGCACATGTCACCAAAAAGTAACATAATTCAAGGGGAGACTGTAAGTCATGAGAGTGTGAAGTAAATAGATTCTGACAATAATATACTGTGTGTAAGGTTCTTATTTGTTTGATTTCGAGGAGATTCCCAGCATGGAATGGATCTGGAATCTTGAGGTACAAATTGAACAATTATCAATTGACACCTGCCTGTCTTAGTAAATTGCTGCATCTTCAATTATCTTTTCAAAGGTATGCGCTGTGAAACTGATATAGATGAATGTGCTTCGTTTCCTTGCAAGCATGGAGGCACCTGCATTGACCAACCTGGTAATTACTACTGCCAATGTGTGACTCCATTTAAAGGTAATGAACACCGAGGGAGAAGGGAAAGTAAACATAATTAACTTTAGAAAGCATTTCTGTCACTTGTCTGAACTCATTTCACTCTTCCGAGCAGCATTATTAGGCCTTTATTTTCTCAGAGCGAGCTTCAAAAGTGACCAGCCAATTATCTCTGAGGCTGTGACTAATGTGAAATAAACTTTGTTTATTCATCTGCTGAAAGAGTTCAGTTATTTATTAGAAGAGATGCTAACAAACATAACAAACATAGGAGAGGATCTCGGTAGCACATGGCCTCTTGGAAGGAAGAAAGGTATGGGCCATTTAACTTACTGATGCGGTGCTCAGGAGAAGCACAGGAGAGGCTGGAGCAAAGCTGCTATCAGCCTCCCCTCTCAGGCTGCCTGCTTGGATTGAGTTAAGCAATCCTGTTTGCTGCAGTTCCTTATGTGCTGAAGTTAATAAAGTTGGAACTAGCATATTTTTGGCCTTGTGCCTTTCTGGAGTGTGGGGACATGACACCCGTTCTATAATAGCACCAGTTTCATCAATGTTATGCATAACAAAGACTAACCAACAAACTCTCGGTACCTTTTAAAATACAATGAAAACTATGAAATTAAATCAATTTAAACTATCATATAAAATCAGCAGGCAGTAAAATAAACACAGGACACTTACTTAAGGAGGTGACAAATGTCGACACCCTTCCGGATATTTACTCATGAGTAGGATGTTGCCCTGGCCATCAATCTGAACATGTGGAAATTCAGCCTTAAAGGGGAAAACATAGAACCAAATCAGCTGGACCAAGTTGGATGGCTTTAAAAAATCAATTAGGCAAATTTGTGGAGGATACAGCTATCAATGGCTACTAGCTTAAATTTAAACAGTCCCCAAAGAATTCTGGGAGTTGTAGTTTATTGAGGGTTAGGGGAGTTTTTAGGAGACACTTATTCCTCCCTCCAGAGTTCCCTATGAAGAGGGACTGACTGTGGAAATTGTAGCTCTGTGGGGGGCAGGGGGAGATAGGGATTTCTTAACAACTCTCAGCACCCTTAACAAACTACAGCTCCCAGAATTCTTTAGGAGGAAGTCATGACTGTTTAAAGTGCTTTAAATGTATGATGTGAATGTAGCCAATGCTGCATGCCCCATGACCTGCCTGTACAACTGAGCTTTCCTTTCCCCTCCTTTCCACTGCAGTCATCTGTACCAACCAAACTCTCTTTAGGGGTTTTTATTTGGGGGGGGGCACTAAGGGAAAGCCTGGAATGGGACACCGAGGTTGGAGCAGGGCTACCTTGCACAAATGAAAGTACCTTTACAAGTTCCTTTGGGTGCAACACATAGCTCCTGTTGAGAGTTGGAGAACAAAGCACACCTAACCATAGATCAGGAGGTTGTACCCAGTGCTGTTTTTCTAGGAAAACAGGTGCTGGAACTCACCACAAACACTTCCCTTGTTCTCTTATAGTGGCAATGACACCCACCTGAGAGGTGCCGGAACTGAGTTCTGGCTGGAAAAAAAGCCCTGGTTGTACCTATTTTTAGGGTCATACGTTGTGCTATATAAAAGATCTTAACGTTCACCCATCTAAGCAGAATGCCATGGTTTGTAAATTTTAGAATCTTCATTGTCTAATTTTGTCTGGGCACTGCCATGCTTTCCCCTTCCTAAAGGAGATCTGTATAAACACAGTTTATCATTTCTATAGAGAGGACTAAGAAGATGTCCTTGAAAATGATGGGGTTATAAACCTGTCACCTTCTTTAGTCTTCTGAACAACAAGAAGAAAAGGAATAAGTACATTTTTTCCTACCCAATGGCTACCTAATTGAGCTGTGCACATTTTTCAGAACTTCCTTTGGGGGCAATTAGCCTCTCTCCCTCTGGATATAAGCCACTCACCCTTGCTTCTACTTCTTCTTTTCTTCTCCTTCACGTTTGTTGCTTCTTTCTTTAAGGATATCTTGATGATATTTCCAGAGACCATATTTTATAAATCTTCCATTCTCTCAGTTTTCTTGTCTATGGATTGGTTTTCTGTCTGTCCACCTTCCCCCCAAACTCAAAATTGCTTCACTTTTTCTCCATTAGACAGAGCTCTCTTGATAACTAGCCTTTTCAAGTTGCACAGCACCAGTATGCGCATTGTCCCCCAGCATGTAATTTTTATATGTAGTGGGGCTCAGGAGTGAGCACTGATCTCACTGCTACACTCCACTGCATATTCAGCTTGAACCGGGGCCTGCATAAACAAACCCCTCCAATGTCAGTCTAACTCATGCAATTAATTCACCATGAAAAGGGAATATGCAAAACACGAATGCATTCAGGAGTATCTTAGTCCTAATGGCACAGAGATGTAAACACAATGCACCTTTTAATTCCAGATCACCTGGTCATCTTCAGCTAGTAATAGTGATAGGTTTTGAAGTCCTGAGCAACTAAAATGTGTCAAATGGCCAGGCCTGTTCCTTTAAGGAAAAAAATAAGCATGAAAGGTGAATTCCTGGATGCCAAGATCCAGATTTGGGGCAAGTACTGTTTGGTGAGAGAACCCCCCACAGAGATTTAAAAACCACAAAATATGCAGCAAATAAAGTGTGGAAATATAGGCTTTTAAAGTTGCCCTTGTGAGTTTCAAAACTTCCCTCTTCCCCCATCATAAGAAAAGACCACACGTTTGGTAAGTTAAAAAATGGTTTACCTACAAACTGCTCAAAGGTCAGGTTCATGCACTTTGCCATACACCTGACAGAAAAGTTGTGCAGGCAGTAAAATTTGGCTTAGCTGTAAATTGGTGAAAGTGCTTAAATTATTTGTATAGAAACTCAAGATAGGCTTGTTAGAGCCATGCAGCTAAACTTGAGCAACCAGCTTACCTCTTCACATGTTGAGCTTTTCAAGCAGACTGGGCGAGAACAATAGGCCTGATTACCTAGTTCCTCCAAAGGTGAGGGGAAGTAGGCATAGCTAAGCATGGCGGGACAGCTTATTCTGTGGCACTAACTTCTTCATGTATTAATTAGACTTAAGCATGATGGTTATATGAGGCTGGCCATCCCACACAGGTATGGCAGTAAGTAAATGGCTACAAAGCCACAGTTGGGTTTAAGAAGAAGAGTGCAGCATCAAGTATGAAATGAAAAGTACATGACTAATGTGTCAGAAAATCCAGGTTATCTGGGGTATGGTAAAATTGAGAAGTATAAATTTGCTCTATGTAAGGCAGATCACACCTGGAACAATTTTTCTGTTCTAGTAGCCATTTTGGTTGCTGAAAGGAGACAAAGATTCATAGCATGTTCATGTCTGAATACAGCCTAGTACAGTATTCTTTAGCATTCAACAAGTGCAGAATGGTTGAGTGATTTGAGGTAATATTCTTTTAATTATTTCCATGATGTCAGGGGAAAAAAACTGTTCTTTGATCCAAAATGTTTCGTGACTCGGTCATTTATTTATTTTTTGCTGTGCTTCAATTAAAAGACAATGTGTTCCTGTTTGTTGCAGCCCCAATGGCATGTCCCCAAATATATACCAAATAAGATTAAAGCTGAATTTGTAATTGACCATTAAACATTTTGTAAAAAAAAGTAAGTCAACAAGAGCAGCTCAGAGGGGAAAATGGAGAATAACTAGAATAATAATAAGAGTTTTCAGTATAGGAGACTATTATGGGTAGTGGTAATTAGAAATTGGATTATAAGTAAAAGGTTTTTAAGTGCTCGTGACAGAGGCGAGACAGGAGAGTAAAGATAATGGACCAAATGAACAATTAGCTTTCAGTGATCACAGACTACACATTTTGTGATATGGCTCAATGGAGAGTTGCAGCTATCATAACACAAATATCTCTCAGATCTGAGACTCTCCTGAAATATGAAAGCAATATCTCCCAATTTAAAACACTTTATCTCTGGTTGCTGCAGGTTTTGGTGCAGCATCACCAAATGATTTTGTTAAATCCATTTGGATGTTGAATAGCAGGCAAAGGCAAACTTGGCCCTCCAAGATGTTTTGGGACTACAACTCCCATCATCCCTAGCTAACAGGACCAGTGGTCAGGGATGATGGGAATTGTAGTCCCAAAACATCTGGAGGGCCGAGTTTGTCTATGTCTGTTGAATAGCCTTCAGGTCCTAAGCATGACATAACTTCAATCGCACTGCTGAAATTTGCCATGACCCAGGCCTGATTTGTCAGGAACAGACATGCCAGAATATGTTCATGGGCATTTTGATTTGCTTAATTACCATCTTAGTAACCTTTGGGCTCTCACAAAATACTTCAGCCAAGGTTGAAAGCGTGTAAAATTGGAGTGGGCATAGGGCTGAAGGACAACAGGGACCATGAGTTACAAGGAGGATCAAATATCCACGCAGGGACTCCACTCCAATATTTTTATATAAAATTGGTCCATGCATGTTAATGTGAAATAAACCCTGGTTTTTAAGAAAAGTTAAGCTAAGATTCCCAGGTGGCTATATCCATCTTGCCCTTCATACAGGATTTGTCGTCCATGAAGGTGGCTCTGCTATGATGTACCTTCAGTCAAAGAAAGATAGGAAAACATCAGCTGGTTATATCATTTAATTAACAAATGGCAGGCACAGAGAAGCCCACCAGGTGTTGTTGGAGTACAGTTCCCATCAGTCCTAGTCAGTACTGCTGGGGATAGTGGCAGTTGTAGTCCACAAACATCTGAAGGGCCACATAGCCCCCCCCCCCATTTCTGGGGAAATCTGACATAGTAATGCTAATGAATTCAGTCCCCTCTCTCACCTTGATCACCAAGATGCTGTTCCATTAATCCAGCTAATGTTTCCTGAATGTATTGGGTTCCCTAGTTGATATTTGAGAGAATAGCAGTCAAACACCCCTACTGGGAGCTCCAAATTAATTCTAATAATGGCCAACATTTTTAAGGACCGACCTTTCAGGGCAGCGTAGCATAGTGAAACTATTAGGGCAAGTTAACAAGTGATGTAATAAGCTTATGGTGGGCCCAATA